TTCTTAAACTATGAAAAGGCTTATAGGCACTTTAGGTAACATGATATAAACTTTATTTGTCGAGATGCAATTATCATGGAATTGTTACTCAAAAGAGCCCACATGCAACGCGTCTATCTTAGCTCGTAGTTATTAAACATTTATAACAATTTATTATTTTTTTAAAATTAAAAACCTTTTGAAAAAAATTCACAATTCACATTCAAAATTCACATTCTCGTTACAAAATTCAAGGACTTTTTAAGCACTTTTCAAGCACAAAAATTCTATTTTCAAGGACAGAGTTTTTTGTATTAGAACGTGGTTTAAAACATTGATTCAATGTTAAAGTGCAGCTAATTCAGCTGGGGCCACTAGCTTAGATAAAAAACGAGCATGACACGCAACCAACCAGTAAACAAGCAACCAGAAACTCTTCAATCAATTTTAATCGTTATTTATCTTAAAAGGTAAGTTAGAAATATCATTAAGTTTGCATTAAATTCAAGGAGTATTCCAGGAGTTTTGGCGTTTTCCCCTATTTTCAAGGGCTTTTCAAGCGCCCTTGAAAACGTGTTTTCAATTCAAGGACTTTTCAAGGATTTCAAGGAGAAGCACGAACCCTGAAAGAAAAAGCCAAAGAAAAAAGGGGGAAAAAAACCAAACAAACAAACAAAAAAAAACTTGATGGAAAAATTCCAATATAAGAGGAAATCGTCATAACATTCTTTTTATTTTTATGGAAAATCTTAAAATTTGTGAAGTTACTACTGTTTTATTGTTTTCTGAAATTAAACTGAAAATTCTGAACGAAATTCACACGCACACACACAAAAAAGGTTTCATCTATCACGAACGTTTTATAAAATAAATCTTAACTAAGATCATAAACCTAGATGCTCTTAAGAAAAAATGAATACAGAAACTACGTGATTAAGAAGATATGTAATTTATAATTTTAATAGTTTCAATCCATAGTTTTATAAATTTTATCTAAAAGAAAAGAAAGAAAGAAGAAAAAAAATTGACAAAAAACTGGAAATTGATGGAAAAGGAAATCGTCCTTTTTGTAAGAAAAATCGTAAAATTTGTAAAGTTTCGGTGGGTTTTTTAGCCGATTATCGAACTCTAACGAATTACATTTTTGGTGTCCGTAAAAAACTCTGCGTTATTAGAAAATACAGTCATTACACGACTGACTTAGTTTGCAAAACTTCTTCTTCCTACTCAAATAAAAAAGAAGTCTTTAAGTCGATGAAGAACACGCTTCAAATTTGCTAAACAAAAGAAATTCGGATTTCAAGCGAGGATAGTTTAATAGGTAAGAATGTGCAGAATCTCAATAATTATTAACTGAAATTATTATTAGAAGATATTATTTATTGGGTTAATTTCTAATAGTAATATTTTTGGTAAAGGCTTTAATATTTCATTTGTGGAGTATTGAAACTGAAAGTCTTCCATTTTAAACTGGAAATTTTGTGGTTGCGAATTTTGTTAAAGTTTGCAACGAGATGGCTTTCATTTTTTATCGCTTCATGAGGTCACCGAGGACTCTAACTTTGTCAAGCTCTCTCTTAGGAAATCTGTTTAACTTAAGACTACTTTATAAATACAATTATTATAACAAATAAGACGGTCTTACCTATACTTGAAGAGAACCGAATCAGGATACCGAGGATAAAGATTCCACAATGTTGTATACTTAAACAAGACATGGCACTACCTTGTTCAAAGAGTTCTATGTTGTCTTCTGAACGTTCTGAAGAATCAATTTCACTATAATCCGGATTTTGAATATATGCATTAATGACGTCTTTATACCACTCACTTTAGACAAAGTACCACTCACTTTTGAATAATGTATTAGACGGGAATGCTTAATTAACTATTAAATAGATTTATATTACAAGTTTGATGCGACGTGACTTATGTGAACACTTTTTTGGCTAGTGTCGTGCAGCGTCTTGTAGTGTTAATTTGTTGGTGCTTTTTTTTTTGTTTCTCTTAGTTTCTTTGTATTTCTGGTCAATGATAAAAATAAAAGATGGAAACGAAACTAGGCACCTAATCCCAACAATTATGATGACTTTCACACAGGAATGGGACTTAATTAAACCAATACGAAAGACGCGGAATCTAGGTTTGAGTAGCTTTGTCGTCCTCCCCNCCCTCCCGCACAATAGCACAAAGACTTCAAAAACTTTGATTAAGACTCTGCAAGCGTAGTTATAGTATAATTCAAAGCAGTAAAGGAATATTTTCAAGTGTATAAACTCTTAAAAAAATATAGATGGACGTAGATAGTAAAAAGCCCTGAATTTTTAAAAAGAATAAATAAATAGCAAATAGTGCAATTCAGCTTCTAATTTTAGAGAAGTCATCTATTATTAGTAATAAATTATTAAAAGTATTAACATAATATCTAAAAAATATTTGTTTAACCATTATCCACCTATGTGCATCAGATCAGTTTACAGCTTTTAGACCTTGGTTTTTCTTGAGCGCACGCGCGCTCTAGAGCCGATGACGTAAGCATTGTGAAATAAACTCGTGAAAGGAAAATTTTGTCCTCAAAAACTATAATATTGAAACAGAAAAAACTCAAAAACTCTGCGCTTAAATTTCTTTAAATTTTTCATAAGGCTTTGGTTTATGTTTTCGAAAACGTAAAGCCCCGTTTACACTGGCGATTTTTGCTGCGATTTTTGTGGCAATTTTCGGAAATATGAAATCTTTTGTCTCATCCTTCAAAAGAGACATTCGTCTAGGAAAATCTTGCTATCCTTAAAAAAATTTACAAGTACTTTCTTTATCATTATTTATTGTGAACAAAATCGCAAAAAAATCGCCGCAAAAATCGCCAGTGTAAACGGGGCTTAAGGAAAAATTTAAAACATTCTGTACGATGAAACTTATTTTATTTAAATTTTATTGATTTTTATGAATTCCCTCTCATAGAATTTTTTTCTTTTTTCGTCAAATAGAAGATTACAATACAAAGTTAAAATATTCCGGCTTTTAAAACTGATTCACCGTTCATTTCTTTAGTTATGATATTTTAAATGAACATTTTTGATGGCATCTGACAAGGGTTCTGATGTTGTCATAGCAACGTCTTACGTCTTTTTTCATGTTCATTGTGATATTTGGAAGTCCTATAATTTTTCTAGTTCATAATTGTGAGTGTATCTGAAGGCACAAAACACTTTCCAGCCTCCTTAAGTGAAGTCAATCCAATGGAAAAACGACTTCCGGGTTCAAATCGAAAAACAGTTTTTCTTACTTTTTCTTAATGAAAGGATTTGTTGTCCAAGATTCTATTTGTTAATTTAATAGTTACGAAAGTTACTAAATAATTAGATCTTATTAACCGAGCTTGGTCAGTCTGTACGGGATAATCTTGACCGAGGTCTGTACCCGACCGAGGTCAAGATTATTCCGTACAGAACGACCAAGCTCGGTTGATAAGAGTTTTATTATATGACCACTTTTCATTGAAAAGGACAAAATGTTTTCGCCGTAAGATTAATATGCGATCGGACCGGTTAATACCGAAGAATCTAGACCATGCGATCTATCCAATCAGATTGCTCGATTTGCTAGTATCCAGACTCTAAGATTCACGGTCATATAATAAAGTGCAATCTGGTCCAGCTGAGTTGATCTTCAGAGCAAACTCGAGGTCAACCAATCAGAATAGACCCTTTTCGAATTCCAAATTACCGCTGTGTTTCTTGATTACAGACTCATTTACTCAGGCTTAGCCTTCGAATCAGTGTCTAATCAGTGTCGCAAATACCAATGGTAAAGTAAAGAATGCACAACTTCAACAATACGAACACTTTGAAACTCGACGGATCTTTACTGGAACACGTGAATATTCTTCACAAAATCGAGGCTAAGCCTGAGTAAATGAGTCTGTAATAAAGAAACACAGCGGTAATTTGGAACTCGAAAAGGGTCTATTGAGGATTCAACATCATATTTTGTTTAGCATTTCCTATGATTCTGCCAAGAGAACCTATGGAATATTAATTCTCATTTCATTTTTAACATTATGTATCGTAAATGCTACTAGTTGAACTCATGGTGGAATTCTAGTTCATTCAACACGAGAAATCTACATTTGGGTAGCATGGGTAGCGTTCGTGGCTAACGCATCGTCTATCACTGCTGTGAGTCCAACGGGTCGCTGGTTCGAGCCCTGCGGTCGCCACATATGAATTGAGTTTGTTTGATGTGTTGTTCTCTCCTATGCTACGAGGGTTTTCTCCGGGTTCTCCGGTTTCCTCCCTCCGTAAAAATCAATATGTGAGTTGAGAGTTGTGTGTATAAAATATTCGAATGTAGTAAGGAGGATGTATGGAGGATACACGGCCCCAAAAGCTCTTAGCTTTAATGCCTACCGTGTATAAAAAAAAAAATTATTTTTATTTTTATTGTCCTTAGCCCCTGCTAGGAAAATGCTAACCAAAAAGTTGATTCAAGATTACTTTCGGGGAATGCAGACAACTCAGCTGGGTATGAAACGCCAGATAAGAGGAACTTGAAAGTTGAAGTCCTCATTCAAGGGCACTAGGACACCTAAAGTGGTTGGATTTTTCTAGTTTTTTTTCTGTCAATTAATGTGCTAAGGTAATGTGTGTCTATGTGTACAACGACCAGTAATTAAAAAATAATAAGATTCAAACAACTGACTCAATAGAATTTCCGAGTTTACACCTAATTCAAAGCGTTGTCATCGCCAAAGGCGATAGACAATAGGCAATAGGAGAAAAGCTATAGGATATATGTCATTGCAAGGTCCAAGAATAGCTGGAATGACTCGTGTTTCTTCGTCTTATTCTCGTCAAGAGCATGGACCTTCGTGCTGAGACTGATTTGATGTTCTTTGTATTCAACGAAAACATTGCCATGTCCTATCGCCTATCGCCTTTGGCGATGACAAAGTTTTTTGAATTAGGTGTATATAACGTGGGTAGAGAATATAATGAACGCTTTGAAGAATTTCGATCTTTTTGTCACACACTGATGTATTCTTTATTTCACACTATGTAATCAAATATTGGTCGATTTAACACTCACTGGACCCTCTACTTTGAGCGTAATGTTCCATTTTTTTCTCAAGAGTTACTGGCGAAGAAAAAAATTGTATTAAAGGGAATGAAGGGTGGTCTGGAATTGATAACCTTTTCTCTAATCCTATGATTTCTACACTTTGATTGGAAAATATGTCACTAGGGAAATAGAATGACCAATATGGGATTTCCCCAAGGTTCATCTATAGGACCGACATTTAGGTCACTGGGAATGGGAAATAGAATCACCAACATGGGAGTTCCCCAAGGTTCATCACTAGGACCGGAATTGAGGTCAAGGAGAATGGGAAATAGAATCACCAACACTTTCTCCAAAACCCTAGAAACGGAAACCTAGCTGTCTATAGAGAAGAGTTCCACTTGCTTCAAAGCAAGAGGCAATTCAAAGAAAACTTTAGAAATTAAAAAACATTATACGCCCACAACTTGCAACTAATCCTAAAATTAAATATCTCATAATCTAACAGAAGCCGAAGACGTYGTCTGATTTGGTGACCGCAAAATGCCATCTGACATGATGATTTTCAATTAAATTTCACACAATTTTATGTACAACGAGACGTCAAGATTCAATGTCCCCGATTAGTGTACGATCTTGTTGCATGCTAAAGGACTGACACAACACTATAAATTTTATGCATGTAAAATGCAGATATGAAAGCAAGATGTTTCCAGCCTGTAAGGTTCAATATTCACACACTATTTTCAACAGTCATCTAGATATACCTTTTTTGAATTCGTACAATATCGCTGTTTGATGGTTACAGACTCTTTTTCTCACGCTTAGACTCATTCCATTGTCATGATTTTCACAAATACCAACGGTAAAGTAAAAAATTCACGACTTTAACCATAAAAACAATTTAAAGTTCCATGGACTTCACTGGAACACATCGATATCAAATACAAAATCGAGGCTAACCCTGAGTACAGAACTCGAGCATTGCAACCAAGTTTCTTCCAAAAGGTATGTCAGTCTAGAAGGCACTGCTTTCCTGCTTCCGTTGCTTGCCTGACAAGAAAGAACTCGAAATTGGAGTATTGCAACCTTCTTCACGGCAGATATGTCATTCTAATTACAAGTCACTGTTTTCCTTTTTCCGTGGTTTGCCTGAGGATAAAGTAGATTTTCTGTCGTCACTCACAGGGGTTACTCTGTTGGATTTGAAATTCCCGAAAGCGAGCGATGGTGTTCGCTCCCTTCCTTCAGGCCCCGAGTAGGAGCACTTTCGTGCTTGTCCTTGAGCGGGGTTAGGTATCTTTACTGTGCTTGTAGCCGACGTATTTCGATTAGAATGGCTGGCTTTACTTGCTTTGCTCGTAGTTGATGGCTTTCTTTTGTTTGACGTCGAGATAGATTTTTTCCGCGATACGTTAGACTGCCTGGTTCCTGCTCTTTCTTTGAAAACGTTGTCTTCATCTTCACTTTCAAGTATGTCTTTGAGATCTTCATCTGTTTCTTCGTCTACATTAATAACACTAGCTTTTCCAAGACTAAGAAAAATACGAGACAAAAAAAGCCCAGTTACACTATCTATCGTGGGGGAGAGGGGACGGGTGGTATGGAACGCTCCGGAGGAGGGGTTGGGAATATTGATACGATATACACAGAATCGAAACATGGTGACCAATGGATCCTTCTCTAAAGTATAGTGGAAGCGAGGCTAACATAGAAATACCAAAAAACCCAACTTTTTCTCGATGGAATTTTTGGCATCTCTTTTGTATTTCCATGTTAGCCTTGCAATCAAGAACATCTTACAAAGGGTCAATAGTCCCCTTCACAGTTCCCTGCGCCATCTTGAAAGGTAGCCGTGCCTTTGCATCGAAGCGAGACGAACGGTGAGCTTGCAATGATAGAGACCTTTTTTTAACAGCTTGCACAATTATTCACGTGTCTCTATCATTGCAAGCTCACCGTTCGTCTCGCTACGATGCAAAGGCACGGCTACCTTTCAAGATGGCGCAGGGAACTGTGAAGGGGACTATTTGAATAACTATTGTTCTGCGCTGACTAGCGACTGACTAGTCAGTCACTGGTCGGTGGAGAACAAGAAAGCTAAAGAAGAGCTAAATTACTTAAAAATATTTAAAACTAGCTAAAATAAAAAGCAAATAACGTAACCAACCTTTTCTTGTCACTGTCGGAATCGTCATCATCGAGCATGAGCCGAGGGGGTGAGTGCTGACCGTGTAGTTCTGTGGGCGCATATGCGGGTGCCAACATGTTCGGCAGATAGGCCGGTGTTGTCCAATCGTATCGCCTTGTTAGCGCCTCGTTGTCTACAAGTTGTAGTTTGCTGTGTGTCATGTCAAACATCCCTCTCTCTCTTTGTTGTTCTGAAAACGTTTTCAAAAATATTATTTTGTTATTAGGCGTAATAGTCCTCCCTAGCTAGTGGGCTAATGTTTTCCAACTTCAGATCACAAGTCATTCCCTTGAGTTTTATATCTTTGTTTAGTAGACCACTTGTAGCACTTTAGAATGTAGCTCAATCTGGGGGACAAAACAATAGGTTCCAATTCTCAGGAGGTTAGAATTCTTTTGTTTTGTCCCCCAGGTCGAGCTGCTTTGACGTCACATGCAAGGGGTCTATAGCAGCACATGAGAATTAGACACAAGAATATGGATACAAATCAAACAAAGACTCTTATTCACCATTTTCTAAACATTGGTTCACTGGTTAAACACAAAGCGCTCAAGCGAGGCGCCAAGGTACTTTCAAAGGATTATTCAAAACTGAACCTTGCAACCTCGACTGAATTCTTTGTGTTTGACCAGTGAACTGATGTATGGAAAATGGTGAATTGTGTAGTATTTACTTAAATTGCAGTCATTTGGAGAAACTGATTAATCTTATATAAATAATAGAGCACACCTAACAAAAACAAGCCGCTTTTTTCTGTAGCCCCGTTTACACTGGCGATTTTTGCGGCGATTTTTGCTGGAGTTTTTTTTGGCAATTTTCGGAAATATGAAATCTTTTGTCTCATCCTTCAAAAGAGACATTCGTCTAGGAAAATCTTGGTATCCTGTAAAAAACTTTACAAGTAAATTCTTTACCATTATTTATTATGGACAAGAAATCGCAAGAAATCGCCGCAAAAATCGCCGCAAAAATTGCTAGTGTAAACGGGGCTTAAACGGGGCTTTAAGAATACAAGCCCTGTTTAAGAACCTAAATAGCCTAATTTTTGCAGTCAACACCATTTGTGTAAGGACCTTTATCGGCTAACGTAGAAAAATCTAAGTTCTTATAAGCGGGCTTTTACTGTAGTCAATATGTGACGTCATATAAGGAAGACTAACCGTTCTCTGAGCTTTCTTGATTCGCCATTGCTTCTTGTAGCTTCTTCTTCTTTGAATTGATGCGATTACTATTAATGTCTGTGTACTTCTTTTTGTGAAGTAAATACGATTGCTTACAGCACTGCCATAAGACACAAAGTGAAATGAGGCTGAAAACTCCTATGGCCGAGTAAATAAGCGGCCACAGGTTTGTATGGATAGGAGGAACCATTTTGGTTGGAGAAACAGTGGCCGCTTCATAGGGTACACAGTGAAACATATATGATGAATTGAAGACTTTAGACAGCAAGAAAGACACTTTGATTTTGGACCCGTCCCATAACATGAAATCAAATTTCCCATTAATTACAGAGTCTGTTATAAACTTGATGGTATCTGTAAGACTTTTAGACTTTGATAGGTCCTTTTTCATTGTAGCATTGATAACCATGCTACTACATTGTCCTGAGCTTGAATAAATGTTGTTGGGGTCACTCACGTAGGTGTCGACTTTAAAGCCACAGTAGGGAAGAACCCCGCTGTAAAATGTGGTCTCTGTCACGGTGGTGAGCGAGATGTCGGTGCTAGTGAGGTTACCGACCGCGTACCGGAATGACAGAGATAGGTTTTGGGTACGTGATCGGTATGTGTTGATATCATGTTTGAGAATGAAGATGGCTACTATGATGGCTTGCTCGACTGGAGGGGAGCTTGTTGCTGAAACAAAAGAACACAAAGTTAATCACTCAGGTTGTTTGTGTAGTCGATGTTTTCTTTTCTTTACGATCGTTCATCAGTCATCCAAACACATACATATTGGAGATGATGGTGGTGATGATGATGGTGATGATCATAATGACCAATTTATCCATGCGTCCACCCATCTCTACAACCATACATAAATGCATCCATCTACCCATCCATGCATCCATCCACCCATCCATGCATGCATCCACCCACCCATGCATCCATGC